TGAGGGGCCGGGCGGGGGTCGGACCCTCCTGCTCGGGGAGGGTGAGGGGGGTCCTGAGGGGCCGGGCGGGGGTCGGACCCTCCTGCTCGGGGAGGGTGAGGGGAGTTCTGAGGGGTCCCGGAGCTGCTCGAGGTGGCCGAGGGTCCAGGGGTTCCCCCCGGTACCGGCAGGGTGGGGGAGCGGCCGGGCCCGCCGGTGGTCCCGGGCCCCGCGGGTGTCGCGGTCACCGGCCCCGATCAGGCTCCACTGCCGCTGTCCCCCGCGGGCTCTGCCGTGCCCGTGCCAATGTCAACGTCCTCCCTTTATTTCCTAGCCCAGGTGGGGAAGACGTCCCTGATCATGGCCCTGGTGGGCGAGGAGTTTCCTGAAGAGGTGAGCGGGGAGGGGGCACACACACACATACACCCGGGTGAGACAGCTGTGTCCCCAGTGCGGGGGTCGGGGTGCCTGGGGGTGCTCACAGCTCTGAGCTGTGACAGCCACGGGAGTCACCAGCAATCGCCGCTAAAGCTCAGGTGAGGTCGGTGAGGACCATACGGAGCTCCAGCTGAGGTGCTGTTTTCCTGTTTGTGCTCTGATTTGGGATTCTCTCTGCCCTCAGGAGGGTGTTGGTACCTCCCAGGCCCCAGCTTGCTGCTGCTGGGGTCTCTGTGTTGTGTCCACCGACACAGCAGGGCCTAGCCTTCCTCCCAAATCTAGCCTGGCACTGGCACAGAGCCCTCAGAAGGGGCCAAGCCACATTCCCTGCCCTTCTGTACCCATCTGGAGTTGGGTTTGGTGCTCTGAGCCAGGCCAGCTGCCAGTAGCAGATCTGTCGTTCCCTTCAGAACCTCCAGCGGGGCGGCTTGCTGTCCCAGCACAGCTGGGATGGGAAAATGGGATCAGTCTGGCCACATTTTCCCTGTGCCATCAGCTGGGTTCTCCCACTGCCTACAAGCAGCTGGTGCCCTGCTTGATGCTGTGATGGGAAGCATCAGCTCAGGGATTTGGGGGGATCAGCCCTGTGGCCCATCCCCTGCTGCCAGCCCAGCCCAGACAGTCAGCTCAGCACTGAGCCCAGACAGCCGGGGAGTGCCCAGGGAGTGTCCAGGCCTTATCTCTGGAGTGCCCAGGCCTTATCTCCGGAGCCCAAGGCTGTGGCTGAGGGAGACCAGGCTGGGCAGGGCTGGCTGTGGCTGAGGGAGGCTGTTCCTGGGGGACAAACAGAGATTCCACCTCGGGAACATAGGCTGTGTGAGGGGTGGGGTGCAGGGAGTTGCTGCAGCCCCGGGGGCCAAAAGCCATCCATGATCCATAGCCCATCCCACCCTGGCAGGGCGGGCGCTGGGCAGTGCCCACGTTGGGGTGTGAGGTCCCTTGTCACCCGTGCTCCTGGCTGGCTGTCACCTGGCAGGGCTGACTGGACACCTGTGCTGGCTTTGCAGGTGCCCCCCCGGGCGGAGGAGATCACGATCCCGGCAGATGTCACCCCTGAGAAGGTCCCCACACACATAGTGGACTACTCAGGTAGGGCCCCATCCCATCTGGCTTTTCCCCTTCCCTGCCTGTCTGGGGACTGGGAAGGGGTCCTGCGGCCAGGGCAGGTGGTGACAGCTCTGTTCCCCTTTCAGAGTCAGAGCAGACAGAGGAGGAGCTGCAGGAGGAGATCTCCAAGGTGAGCTGGGCTGGCTGGGACAGGAGCGTGTGGTCCTGCAGCTCCTGAGCTGCTCCCCTCCCCTCCTGTTAACCACCCAGAGGGGCCAGGCAGTTGGTTATAGGTGGATTAATGCTGTGGTTTGTTTAGAGGCTCGTTTAATCCTGCTCTGTCTTGTAAGCTGTTGTACGTGGCTTGTCCTGGCCCTCGGGGGAGCCTCCAGAAGGAGAGCAGCGGGGGGCAGGAGGGGGCTGCAGAGCAGATGATGTGCTCTCAGCCTGGGGATGTTCCTGACGGACTCAAAAGAGAGGAGAAGCAGTTGCTGAGCTTGGGCAAGACCCCCTGCTCCTGCATTAGATCCCTGTGGCTGCCTGATGAAGCAGTGGCACGGAGAAGTTAATTGGGGAGCTGGAGCCCCCCCGGGGAGCGCTGGGCAAGGGAGAGATGAGGAAGCCCTTGGAGCAGCCATGGAGGAATAATTGAGTTGTCTGGCTGGGATTCACCCAGCTGCTCTTTGCCCTGGGATTAGCCTTGGCTCTGCAGAGGCAAGGACCTTTTAATTGTGGATAATAAAACTCTCTCTCACGTGAACAAAGCTATTTAACCCTGGTGGTTCAAGTGCTGAGGAGGTGGGCACAGGGGTCCTGCCCCTTCCACCCAGACAGCAGGAGTACACAGAGGCTTTAAACAGCCCCAGGAAATCCTGCCTAAACCCTTGTGTGTCCTCAGGATTAGCGCTAAACTCTCTCCTGAAAGGACCAGTGATCCCTCCTGTCTGCTTCCCATAAAGCCTCGGCGCCGTCTGCGCGGGGTCGGGAGGGGAGGAGGGCACGGCCGCGGCGTGGGAGGGGGATCAGGGCGGGCGTGGGGGCGACAGCTCTCGAGGCAGAGGAGCCAGCCTGTGCTCCCAGCAGCTGTGGGACCGTGCCGGGGGGCTGTGTGTGTGTGAGGGGCTGTGTGTGAGGAGGGCTGTGTGTGTGAGG